TTATAGCAAAGGACATCTTCACAGAGTTTGATTAATCAAACTCTTGATGCACTGGAATTGGGACACTGTCAGAATGAGAGGTCCAGTACAGCTATGTGGAGAGTTTTCCCTTTGGGGGATCCAGCACCCTTTTATTCAAGTGGTCTAATTAAAAAGTCTTGGCTTCAATCTCCATCTCAAACTAGGTGAAACAGACAATGAGCCCATCACATAGCATTAGCCTGAAGCCTGGACTGAAAGGTTCTGTGCAGTGGGCATGAGCTCTGTCATGGAGAGCAGAACACTGCCACTCTGTTCAGGTACTGGCTCAGCATGACCAGCAGGGTTGCCAGGTCTCAGCAAAATTTCCACCTCAACTATGAGTTTTTGTGTGGGAAACAAGTTCACCGTGTTGTGCACAAGTTTTTGATTTCCAATATCTGCAATATGCCTTTGTGTCGTTGCTTATTACAAAAATGATCAATTCCATAATCTCAATTTCCCTTTCCCAATCTTTGCTATATGTCTAATGACAGAAATGGTCTGAATATACATGTACCCTTTGCACTAATCGATTAGATTTAATTCAGATTAATTTGCTTTAAACAAGATCTTGACAGCCACAGACTATTTTCAAAATAGCCTAAAAGATACCACTCTTTAACTTGCTTTTTCCACACGGAACCTTGTTCCAAAATTAGCCCAATTTGGCAAACCTGCAAACCTGGCAACACTAATGAACAGCTAATATGCAATGACATAAAATGAAGTCAAAATGGACAAAGAAGTGCAGGCAAATTAAACAAATGTAGATACATTAGCCATTAAATACATAACATAATTCATTTTTACAATAACATTTTGCCTATTGAATTGAGCTGTAGATAGATATGTATACAGCTTCTTATTCCTGGACATTCCACTGACAGAACACTTTAAGTCCAAGCTGAAATGATTTGTTATTTATAAGTGAACTTGTTTTTGAGTTATTGAGGTTTGGATTAAATCCATTCAATTCAAGTGACCAGAACTCAATAATAAATATAACTTTGAGCTTTATGTTATAGGATGTCTGTGTTACCACTGAGATAGTAGAGATTTTTATAGCATAATTAGTTTGCTGTGCATCATAGCAACACATTGTCCTAAATGTCTTTTACTGTTCAACGAGTGACATGACACACTTTATAGGCCTTAAATTCTTATTTCAACAGATACCAGCTGTCATAAAGACCGCTTTTGTTGTCTTGATGTCAAGAACGAAGTAACACAAAATTTCGTTTCATTTTGTGTAATCATTCATTCATTCATTCATTCATTCATTACATATTGTTGTGATACCTTTCTGTGCTAATGGTCAAACATCATGACAACTGATTTACTGTACTTCTGGTATGTCAGAGTTGCACAATAGTGTTGATGAGATATAAGTTTCCACGTGAGGTTAACTGGAAAAATCAGAAGTTGAGTAAAGGTTTTTTCTTATAAATATCTATAGCAATGCCTTGAAATAGTAATAACAGTTTTGTGTATTCCCTCTGACCTGAAATTAGGGTGACTTTGGTGTTGATGTTTGACTTCTGAGAAATGTCTGTTCAAATAAGTCTTTATAAATGATAAATGTTTATGTTGGGCTTATAAATGTTTCATGTAGCCCTTGCAAAATGTTACTAAAAAGTCATTTCCTTTAATATCACAGGAACACTGGGTATGAGGCAGAGACACACTCTGGATGGATGGTCCATCACAGGGCAACATGCACACAACATCACACACTCAAAGGGGCAATTTAGACTAGCAAGTCCACCTACTGGTATGTTTTTTGGAGATGAAGGGAAACTGGAGAACTTGGAGAAAACCCACATGGACATGGGAGGAACATGCAAAACCCCACACAGACAGTAACCTGAGCTCAGGAGTGAACCTGCGACCCTGGAGCTGCAAGGCTGCAGTGCTACCCGCTGCACCACCATGTCACCCCATGACCAAACCAATGCCAAAGAATTTGCTCAGACAAACACA